GTCTATCGCATCTATCAGCAGTGCACGGGCGAGAATCTTTCGGTGTGCCTCAAGGTCAAGCTGCTGACCGGGCTGGAGAAGGCATTCCGCACGGCCAAAACGTTGCCGCTCTTCGAGGGCATTCAGTTTGTGGGCAGCACGGATGCGGCCCAGAAGCGGGCACAGCTGCCGCCCATCACGGAGCAGGACATTGAGGCGGTGCTGCCGCGCGGAATCGATGCCAAGGAGCAAATCCTAAACAGCATGATCATGAAGCGCGTTAGCAACTTCCTGCAGGATCACACGTTACAGGTGAGCGTGGCCTATTTAGGCAACTGGCCCAAGGGCAACTGCTATTAATTGGGCTACCCCTGGTCAAACAGATAAAATTTCCCGATATGCACGCTGCGGACAACAACTCCGTGGAGGGTCGCAAGAAGAAGGATAAAAAGGGCAACGGCGCCTACATAATGATACCCCTGCTGTTGGGCGGCACCTTTGTGCCCATCGCATATGGCGCACTGGCCATGCTGGCGGGCAAGGCGTTGATTGTGTCCAAGCTCGCGCTGGTGCTGGCCTCCATAATTGGCATCAAGAAGCTGCTCAGCGGCGGCGGCGGCGGCAAGGAGTCCTCGCACGAGGTGGTCGTCTCCTCCGGCGGCCACTCCGGCTGGGGACGGGACTTTGACATGGCGTACAGCGGCTGGAAGCCGGCCAAGGAGTCAGCGGGCAGCGCCAAGAGCCTGTAAAGCAGTCGCCAGCATTTGCATTTGAGGGAGAACGAGAACGAGAGAGCAAGAGAGAGAGAGAGCGAGAGAGAGAGAGAGGGATGGAGCAAACCAAAGAAACGATTGCCGCATGAATTGTCTGAATAATCAATAATGTTTAGCTTAATTCGATTATCTATATATTTATATATCTATTTATGTTTAACGAACTAAATGTGTGTGTTAGGCCTAAGTAAGCGTTAATTAAATGTAGTACACAATTTTTGCTTAAATCACGCCCCCATTCAAATCTCTGACAGCTGCCACGCCCCGACAGCGACGCCAGCTGAATTTATGATAACAATTTTAAAAAGTGCTTACGTGCGTGCTAAAAAAAAAAAACAAAAGCACAAAAAAGACGTCTTCGCTTTCTACCGAAAAAAAACGACGAGCACATTTTTGTATTTATTTAGCCCTGCGCAGAGTCTGGCCAAGTCGCAATGCAATATTCATAGATCAAATATGCTCGAGTGTCGCTCACTTGTTTCAATTGTTGCTTTGTTGTTGTCTTTTGCTTGACTTCTTCCGTGGTATGCGACATTTTCACTTTTGGCCACTGCACAAAATATTAATGAGCCGCAATACCAGGTAGAACATTGAACCTGACTGGGCTGGCTTTATTTAAATGTATTTCCCACGCCTAATCAGAGGGCGGCCCTTTACTTTAATTGTTGACGTCATCGTTTGAGGCCCGGCAAACACTTTCATTAATTGAAAATTACTCAAGCACAACGCAACGAGAGCTACCCGGAATTCGCCAGACAAAGTCACGGGGGCCACGCTCGGAATGAAAGTGAAACTTTCAAAAAGGTGTCAATTTTGTAGATGCCACTGAATTAGGGTTGGGCCGCGCTGAGCTGAGCTGTGCTGAGGACCCAAGCGCCAACTGAAAGCGTCTCAGGGAGTTGTCGTTTTCAACGTGAAGACTATGAGAAGATAATGTAAGAGTGTGCGACTAGCAGATACCCTGCAGCCAGCTACCTTTCTAGCTTTCTTCACATAAATATACATATACAATAAAAAACAAACTTTTTGTGCTGTTTAACTTGCCTCAGTCTATGGAAAATATATTCCTGCATAATGATAGAAAATGACAGTACGAAAATATATTCATAAAATTATCAGACTCTAGATGTTGTACTTTCCGAGATCAGACAGGCAGATGGACAAAGCCAGATCTATATATATATTTTATGGCGCTGGGAGTTGTTACATACATACGTACAAAACCAATATACCCGCTTGAAGCCACTTACAGGGTATATAAATAAATATAATTAAAAAGTCTGGACTAATGAAGGTACAGAGTGGGGCAGGAATTAAAGCACAGGATGCTGCACAGCTTATTTCCTCTTCAAGTCAATTTGTGTGTAAACATTGACAAATATCTCAAGCATTTTAACAAGTTGGCCAAAGACATTTGGGTAAGCCGCACTTAAAGAAAAGCACTCTAAAATGTCGTTTCTTTGAAACTTTAGACCAAATGGCCCATTACATAAGCCCAAATCTGTGTTCAATGCTCGTGAGTAACTATTAAAAGTAATAAAAACTGTTTCACTTTCTTTGCGTTGGCATGCAGCCAAAATAATTGCCCAGATCTAACTAGCCCGTTTACGGCTGGCAAGTCGACTGACACATGCCCTACACTCAAGTGATGGCAACACCTTCTCAGCTGACACCCGCACACGAAAGCCGTTGCGCATTCAAGTCACGTCACACGGCACAGCCATCCATCCATCCATCCATCCATCCATCTATATGTATATACATATATACTATATATACGTGCGGGGCATTTGCATATCCCGTCAGCATCTGGCACAACGACAGCAGCTACAACTACGGCGTAAACACCTTTCGGCTCATCAACTATATGGTGTTTAGGCTAAGCAGATAATCAGCTGCGAAACATTTTTTGGCTTGCTTTGCATCTTGAATCGAGCTTAAGTAGCGTGCAAATCTCAACATTCATCGCTTTCTTTCAGGTACTTGACTAATGCGTAAATTACACATAAATACTGAAGAAAATAAACGAGTGAGAAAGCGCTTGTGTAAGACTGATCGGCGGGCAGATACCCTGTAGCTGAACTTCTATTTTAATGCTCTTCGGGTTAACTGGATCTTAATTTGTGCGAATTAAAGGATAATTTTTCTTTCAGACTTATATGTTATCTATTGGGTCTATATATAATTTATATGATCACAAGTAAATTTTTTAGCTGGCAAGTAAGTATTATGTATGGCAAGCTGTAGTCAGATATTTTGGTGTCGTATTCCGATTTTATTGAATTATTTTCTGCTATATAAACAGCATGAAATATTTATCAAAGAGTGTTTTAATCAAGTGCGCCATACCCTGTAGTTTTTGAACAATTAACAAGAAATGTCCTTTAAATTACATTTCGGATTTCCGAACAAAATATTCCTTGAGTTCCATTATCACAATTTGACGCGAATGTGAGAAATTTATAAATTATATAGAAAAAATATTCCTTGTAATTTTTTATCAATATGTGAAAAAAAGTGACATATTGTATTTAATCCTTATAAAATATTCTCATAATATTTTTAATTATTATCAAATGTACAAAAATAATTTAATAAAGTTTTCGATACACACTTTTAACATGCTCATGTTCAAAGAGCTCGACGAAGGCAAAGAATATACCCTATTATTTCTAAGTTGCATAAAACTTTAAGATCTTAGGCCAGAAAATTTTAAATAAAACTAAATGTTTTTAATATTATCGCAAATTGTTGTTATTATTGTTCAATTTATTTTCTATAATTTTAAATATTTTTTGATTAATTAATTAGGCAGAAATGTCTAACTGGGCGTGCTTAACTTAATGTTAATAACATAATAGCTTTATAGTATTAAGGATCGTTTGATTTATGCAGAAAATTGGCACACTTTGATGATTTCTATGTCGTTATATATGACCAAAAGATCGGACTTGTAAGCTTCTGTCCGTTTAAAGCATTTGCATAACTTTTTAACACACTGGGTATGTGTGAAGACGTGCCAAAATGTGCAAAATGAGTATTAAAATTGAAAAGTATAAAATTAAAGCGGCATAATGCGAATGAAATTTGTTTGATATGGAAACTCTGGTGTTGAGACGCTGAGCAAATGTCGCCGATTGGCATACAAAACTGCAGATATATAGATATATGTGTGTGCGTGTGTGTGTGTGTGTGTGTGTGTTTGTGTGTGTGTCTGGTCAGAGATACATGATGAGGCCATAAGTGAGATGGAGAAAAACAAATACATAAATAAAAAGCAAAATTAAAGTGAAATTTTGTTGTTATCCATGCCGCCTGCAAACTAGTTAATTTTCTATTTTACTCCAATTTGAGCGAAGCTCGTGTTGTGCTTGCTTTCAACGCAACGGATCATAAGTAGGCGCCGCCGCCGCTCTGCTCTGCTCTGGTGTCTGATTAGCCAGCCAGGTAGCTTTAAATGCCACACAAAGTCACGTGTCTGCAATTTCTAATGGTTCGATCAGTCGAGCGGCACAGCCAGCCGCACTTTCTGCCTTGTTAATGTTGCGGTTGAGGTTGCGTTCGTTCTCAGCCCACCCGAAAGTGTGCCAAATGCAGGCGCCTTTTAAATGGCTCAATATTCATTTTGAGCTGTCAAATTATTGCCCGCTAAACGGACTGAATAAATGTGCGTGTGTGTGTGTGTGTGTGTGTATCTGTGTGCAAATAGCTAAGTGCTGCTTAAGTGTTTACCTGTTGACAAGCAACAACAACAGCAGCAGAAGCAGCAGCCGCTAACAAGCCAAAGCCAATGCCGCAGCGCTGCCAGCAGCGACGTCGACCGCGACAGCTGCGTCAGCGTCAGCGTTTCACACACACACATGCACTGAAGTGTGTGCCAGGCCAGGCCAAGTCAACGCCAGGTTGCATTAAGAGCCGCAACCGATGCGCTTCGTTGTGGTCGTCGTCGTCGACGTCGACGTTGACGTTGGCTTCGTCTTTGCCAGGTTGTTTATTTAAATTCTAAGCTCGGCTACTGTTTGAGTCGATGGAGCAGCTTGGCTGTGTGTGTGTGCGTACGTGTGTTTGTGTGTGTGTGTGTTGGGGATGCGGCCAGCGGGCCATTCGCGTCGTGTGTTGTCGCCGTTGTCGTCGTTGTCGTTGTCGTCGTCGTCGTCGTCGGCGACTGCGCTGCTGGCCGGGAATAAAACTCGATCCGCGTGCGTCTTCTAGCCACAGTTTACGGATTGCCTTCTGACCGACAGATCGAACAAGCCAATCGAGCGCAGTGCACTCAAACTAACTGTACTAACAGCCACGAGCAGCTCAAGCTACCCCACAAGGCACGCCCAGTCGGTGCCCCAAAGGATACAACAATAATTTAAGCGTCAAGTGTCAAGTGTTGTGTGTCGGTGACCTGCCCCCAGCCCACTCGATAAAAAACAGATAAATAAATAAATAAAAGAGAATTATGTTGAAATTCGTGTGCCTGTTCGCGCTGCTCGCCTCGACGGCGGCGGCAGCCTCCGAGGCTGACAGCTTGCTGACGAGCGCCCTCAAGATGGTCAAGGATTGCGGCGAGCGTTCCATGGTGTTGTGCATGAAGGTAAACCAATTAGAGCGCGATTAGCTAATACAAACATTAACACACACACATACATTCATTTGTAATAGGAGCGCGCCCTGCACTACTTCGACGAGGAGAACGGCGATGTGCGTCTAACGGAGGGCATTTCCCTGGTCAAAACCGATGAGATTCCGGTGGGTCGGGCTCTCAACGATGTGACGCTGCCGGAGGAGGCGGAGGCGCGCGAAAGCGAGGTCGATTCGCTGCTGGTGGAGCGTGTGGCACGCTTCTTTGGCACGCACACGCTGCAGTTCAAGGTGCCCAAGGACTCCATACAGGACATGCAGCGCGCCCTCGAGGAATGTGAGTAACAGACAAGTTGTCTCTGATAAACCAGCTGCAGAACTGGCTGCGGTTCTGCTTACTGGTTCTCAGCAATGCTGCCAAATTGGGTTAGTGGTGCAATTATCGCTGTGGCCGCGTCTGGCTTGCAACAATGTGGGCATAGGCATGAAATCCTGTTTTCACTGTTAGCTGCCGCCGCCGCCGTGGCTGCATTGGGGTCAGGCAGCAGCAGCAGCAGCAGCAGCAGCAGCAGCAGCAGCAGCATCCTGCTGCAGAGATGAGCCGGCTTTTGCTCTGGTCTCTGGTCTAGCGGTGCATTGACAGCTTGTGGCATGCCACAAACTTGTTGCCGCTGCCTGCAATTAATTGCACTTTAGTCAGTTCAGCGCAGTTCGGCGCACTTTCTTTTTGTGTGATTTCCGATTTCTAAGCGGCGGCGGCCATAGAAAGCGGTCAGTCCTGTTTATCGTTTATCGTTCATCGTTCATTGTCTGCTCTCGACTGTCTTTATTATTAATTATGTGCACTGCTCCAATTGCTAATGAGCCGTCGACTGAGAAGCGAAAGTATTGCATGTTAAGCACACACTAATCAAGCTAAATCTCCCCCCGTAGCGCGCGGCAAGAAGAAGGAGAAGAAGAAGTATCTGATGCCGCTGCTGATGCTCTTCAAGCTGAAGATGGCCGCTCTGCTGCCGCTGGCCATTGGCTTCCTGGCGCTCATCTCGTTCAAGGCCCTGGTCATTGGCAAGATCGCGCTGCTGCTCTCCGGCATCATTGGCCTGAAGAAGCTGCTCGAGTCCAAGAAGGAGAACTACGAGGTCGTCGCGCATCCCCACTACGAGCACGAGCACAGCTACGGCAGATCTCTGCAAGGCAACGAGGCACAGAACCTGGCCTTCGCGGCGTATAAGCAATAAATTGCCAAACAACAACAAAAACAACAACAAATTAGTGCAATACACAAAAGAAAAAAAGAAAAAGAGAGAGAAGGGAAATGAAAGCACAGAAAGAGAGAGAGAGAGCGCACAGCTCGCCTAATTTATATTATTTATTTAATTTATTTGTAGCTTAATCTGAAGCAAAAACAAAAAAAAAACAGGCGCCATCAATGGGAGAAAACAAAATGAAAATTCAGCGAAAATTGTCAATGAATGAAACCCTAGTTAATAAGCTCAAGCAGAAGTAGGAGCGACTGCGCTCGTCTCAAGCTAAAAGGGGGCGGCACTTGTGGGCGGACCCAAAACTGAAACCGAAACTGAAACTGAAACTAAACTCAACTAAACTATACTCTGTAAACTGACTGCGCTTTGTATTATGTGAGAGCTTTACTATTTATTTTTGTTTGTTTGTTTGTTTACGCTAAACTATTTACAATTTCATATTTATTGTTGAATAAACCAAATACTCTAGCACGCCCCCCACAAACCACCCTCACACACACCTACACACACACCTACACACACACACACGCACAGAAATGAAACTCAATAAAGCCGCATTTATTTGTAACTGAAATTCGTTTTGCATTTGACAGGCACATATATATATATATATTTATTTATATTTATTGCGCATACGCAACGTGCGCCGCATAAAGTTTGTTTGTTTTTGGTTTTTGTGTTTTTTCAAGCGAAATGCTTTCACTCTTTCACTAATAAAATGAATTACCAACTAAGGCAAACGAGGCCAGCGATATCAATTGCATGTGCGACACACAAAATCACAGACGCTGCACAACAGCCAGAAGAAGAAGAAGAAGAAGCAGCAGCAGCAGAAGCAGCAGCAGCAGAATTTCACTTGCAGCACGCGCACTCAGGCGTGCACAAAGTCACAGTCAGAGTTGGAGTCGAAGTTGGAGTCGAAGTTGGAGTCGGCGCCTAGCTGGCTAACTGACTTCCTGGCCTGGCATGCACATGCCACCTCTGCCACACTCCCGCTGCACATCCCCATATGCCCCCCCTCGCTCCCTCGCTGTGAAGCTGCCCACGCCAATGTCTTCATTGGTATCCGGTGTCGCTCCAAAATCAAATGAAAGTCGCCGCTTTTGGACACGACCTGCTTTTTGCATGTGCAATTGCAACACGTACGACCTCCCCTCCCTCTCTCCCTCACCCGACCACTGCAGACGCGCCAATGTCAATGATATGAAGATGGGGCACGCCCCTGCACAGCGGGCTGGCAATTTATGGCCGAATGCCAAATGGCCAGAAACGATTTCTTAACTGTTTGTCAACAATTTTCGCCTGCTGCAACTGTTGCTGCTGCTGTTGCATTGAATCTCTTAAATGCTGCTGGTGAAAGTGTTTATTAATACAATTTCTATCGGTTTGTGTGTCGCAGGCTGTGGGAAATTGGAAAAACTAATGCCACTTATTTGGCCAGCTAGCTGCAAGCCCAGACGTCTTTAAACGCTTTATCTGGCGACTGAAAACTTTTGCCAGCTACTGCAGAAAATTAAGCCTTAAGTTGAAGTCTACAAATTGGCCTACTTCAAAGGCGATTCAACTGAGGCAGGGGCGTTGGGGCGTGGCAGTCGGGATGTGGCTACCTAAAGTTCATGTGGTCCCGGGCCGTCGGAATTCATTAGCCAAAATATGCAAAAGTTTTGCTACTCAGCGGTTCGAGCGGCCCAGACGAGTGTGTCTAACGACTTACTTCTATTAATTTTCTTGTTTTTGTTGTTGCTGTTGTTATTAAGAGTTTTGTTGCACTGCCTGAAACGACAGGCTGGCAGCACCAAACTTGTTTCGAAGTTTAAACAGATTCCGCCTGAAAGTATGCCACACTTTTTCGAGTGGAAATATTTTCGCAGCTCAAGCTAAATGATCAATTGTGCGGTCAGGTTGGTTGACCTCTAGGGTAAAAAAAGAAAGAAGAAAAACATATAACATTAAGCAAGTGCTAAACGTCTTGGGAATATACATACACTTTTGTGAAAATTGGGCTGCAAAATCTTGAGTTGGTCAGGAAAATTAGCCCAAGGAAAGGGAAAACAAATTGATTAATGTTGACAGCTTGCCACCGCTTCTATACAATTTTTAGATAATTTCTTTTTTATTCTGCACACTCAAATAAAAATAGAGAATACGCAGGCTAGTGACAACAGATTTTGTACTTGATTCCGCAAGAAACAAAATCTAAAGGTCTTAAGCCCGAATTAAGCTGCAAATTCTTGAATTTAGTATAATTCGTAGCTACTTTAAGCTAAGTTCTTGGAATAAGCGTAGAAATTCTTAAATCAAGAAAATTGCATATTATACCCTTGCAGAGGGTATTATAATTTTGTCGTGAAATGTGTAACGCATAGAAGGAGACATCTCCGACCCCATAAAGTATATATATTCTTGATCAGTATCAACAGCCGAGTTGATATAGCCATGTCCGTCTGTCCGTCTGTCTGTTTCTATGCGAACTAGTCTCTCAGTTTTAAAGCTATCTTTATGAAACTTTGCAGAATTGCCTCTTTCTGTTGCACGCAGTTCATATGTCAAAACCAGCTGGATCGGACCACTATATCATATAGCTGCCATTGGAACGATCGGTCGAAAAGTAGGTTCTTGTATGAAAAACATTTTTGTTTATAAAGTTATCTTGACTTAACTTGGTATTTATTAGTTTTACTACGCTCCCCATATATATGCAAAATCCTATTAAGATCGGACAACTATATCATACAGCTGCAATAGGAACGATCGGTCGAAAATTATGCTGTTGTATGGAAACCTTTTTTGTTTTTCAAGATATCTTGACCAAACTCGGCATTTATTAGTTTTACTATGCTCCCTCCACTTATGCAAAATCTTATTCACATCGGGCTACTATATCATGTAGCTGCCATAGGAACGATCGGTCGAAAATTAAGTTGTTGTATGGAAACCTGTTTTGTTTTTCAAGATATCTTAACCATACTCGGCATTAACTATTTTCCCTGTGCTTCTTAGATACGGGCAAAGCACTATGAGTATTTTGAAAAGGTTGGGTCTGCAAGGGTATTAAATCTTCGGTGTTTAAAACTTTTTAAAACTTTTAAATAGTCTGGAGGAATCAAAGTTGATTCAAACTAAAAAATTATTGCAGCTTTAATTTTAAGTTTAAGGATTAATATTTTAGATTATTCAAATAAATTCATTTAATTTTTGACAATTGATTACTTTGCCAATTAATACAAATATTTCTTAAATCGGACTCCGTAATATGCATATATTTATGGGAATCTATATGAAGATATAAACAGACTAAAAGTGGAATGGAAATATATTGTATTTAATGTTGTTACTGATCCAGTTTATGTATAGTTATTCTATGAGGACAGACATGTTTATGCTTATCTCATTTTAAAACATTTTAAAAATTTGTGCTAATAAAAATATGAATCAAACATATTGTAAACAAAAATAAAAATATTGAAAAATTAATTTCAATTTTCATTTTAATTTTTCCTTTCTTTTTGAATTGGACTTTTTGTCACATATTTTTTGTTGCCTTAACTTTGTCTTCTTGTCCCTCAAGCTTATTTTAATTTGAACCTTAATACCATTATTTTTCATCAATTATTCCATTTGACAGATTATCATATCATCCTTTGGGACAGGTGCCTGGTAAGTATTTTTGGTACCAGCCGCCTTTTGCCCTCAATGCCCTCAATTTGCCTAAGCCTGAGAAGGCGTTAATTATGTCTGCCTTTTAGCGACCTAACGACAATACCTGTTAATTAAATAAAGGTCACAGAAGCAACACAAAAAGAAGACCCAATTTCTATCGCTACCAAAAATAACTTAAATTTAATAATTTTGGCTGATTTGTTTGCCTTGTTTGCTTTGGATGTCTAAATAGGCTTAAAAATACAAATTTTATTGTTTTGACTTTTCAAATGGGCGTTCATTTCGGTTAATGCCATAATTGCAGTCGCTTATTTGATGGAGCCCCTCCCCTCCCCTCCTCCCACCACAGCCCCTCTTATCGGATCTAAGCTGTCGCGCTTCTTTCATAATTTTCCTGGAACAACAATGGCTCATTACATAATGGCCAAGATGTGCGAAAAGCCAAAAATTGGCCACAAGTCGGCGCCGTGGGTTGCCGGGCAGCGCGTGTGCACTGACCATGACCATGGTGCCAACTACAACAACAAGTAGGAGTGCTCTAGCTGGATGGGACTGACTAGCAGATACCCTCGACTCAGCGATAAGCTGATGTTACAAATATTCTAACTTACTTCTGAATATAGGAAATTCGTTTTCGTACCTTCGGCTTATAATATTTATGGGAAATGCACTCTTGATAAACCACAGAATTTATTGTTGAGATTATTGAGATACCCAGCAAGCTCTCAGGGATTAAACTTGGCACATATAATTGTGTTAATACCAAAGTTAATAGTTTTTTCCACTTCTGATGGGAATGGAGAAAGGTATCCAACAAGTTTAATATTCTTCAGCTGTTTATACTAGACAAGAATCTAAATATCAAATTTTGTGTATCTAGCCCTTATAATCAAGTTCTCCTTCAAAAAGCAAACCAATATTTATCGATATTTATCGATTATATGGAAATCGAGGAAGAAATCGAGAAAAAAGAGAAGCTTATTCTGCGTTTCTCAGTTTCTAGGGGACAGAAAGCTAAATCAAGTCGTCCTGATCGAGATGCTTCCGCCTACATTTTCATACATTTACTCAAAATCAAAATACCCTTTTCTATACACTTTAAGTGTGTACAGGGTATGACAATAACAACAAGAGCAGCAGCAAACGTCAGCCGCTCGTCTTTGATGTACAACAATTTCCGTTATTGGGCCACGGCGGCGTTACATGTGCAAAATGTTGAACCAAAGCTGATCATATTTGGCCAAAAACTGAGCTGGCCATTGTATAACGAGCTGTGAGGGCAGGGCAGCGACTATAAAGCGAACGGGTCAGCTGGGCAGCAGGCTCAGTAGCATCGCGTTCACCCATTACTAGAGACTAGACTGGTGAGGAAATGGCACCAATGGAGGCACTGCTGCTGCTGCTCATCAGCCTGCTGCAGCTGGAGGCGATTGCGGGCAGCGACTTAAGGCAGGACAGTCTGCAGGAGCTGCAGCATTTCAAGCAGTGCGTGCGGGGATCCAAGCGCGCCCAACTAAGCGAATGCTTGGGGCGCTCCGCATTGAATTTTATACAGCGCTTCGAGGAGCGCGAAAATGTGACATTTGCGGCCGACTTTGTGGCCGTGAAGCGGGAGACGGCGGCGAGTCGCTCGCTGGTGAATGTGCTGGACACAGATCCGGTTGATTTTCGTGGCATACTGGAGAACGCGGGCGCCGTAATGGGACAGCGCAGCCTCGAGTGGCATATGGATGCCATTTATCCCGGGCTGATGTTCAAAATTGGACCCACAGCCGATGCGAACAGCGTGGCGGAATTTGTGCTCGACACTGGACACGATGAGCGACAGTTTGGCTTCGAGGATGCTAGCAC